AGTAAATTGACACGTAGCGCCCCTAAGAGATGGCCACTTTAACCCACGCCTGCTAGGTCCGGGCAGCAATCGCCACATTAACATTACTACTGTTCCTGGCCGCCTCCTCGGGGAATTTATATTCCATTTTAAATAACGTGTAGGCCCTAGGGGGGGGCGGCTAGTAGTAGTAGTAGTAGTAGTAGTAGTAGTAGTAATAGAAGTAGCAGTAGTAGTAGTCGTAGTTGTTGTTGTTGTCGTCGTAGTAGTAGTAGTAGTAGGAAGAAGAAGAGCAGCAGCAGCGCAGCAATAGAGGTAGCTCTACCAAGGTAGTGGCAGTGGTAGCATCGACAGCAATCAAAGAGATACCGTATCCGAGTATGGACCCAACATTCAGAACTTCCGAAGCTTGCCGCAGACCGTATACCCAAAACCCGCTGGAACTGGATTTAGGCTTTTTTGAAGTTGTTTAGGCAGCCATGTTAGAATTTTCGCCTTGACCGGTGCTTTTCCTGAGAGGACAAAAACAAAACGCGACACAGGACACGTAAGAGGAGCAAAGGGGAACAGGAAAGAGGACAGATAACAGCAAAGACACCCGGACAAATGATGGGACAGATAGAGTACAGATGAGAGGACAGATGCAAGACAAGACACAGGACGGATAAGAGGACAGAAAAGAGGACGGATAGGAGGCCACATGAGCAGGATAAAGGGCGAACAAAGTTAAACGACCAGGTCTCAGGCCTGCGAGTTCTGTTGCCTCGTTATTGGGTTCCCAATCAAGGCAGTCAAACTTGACACATGCCATGAGAAAGAGGAGTTTTGTTGCAACGTCTGGTTCAGCAGGCTAGGATTCTTAAAGTGATAATTTGAGATTTTAGTTGTGCTGAGCATGATCATGCTCTGCACAAGGTCTGGAATGAATGTCCAGACAGCGCTCGAACTGATTCAGGGCAAAAGTGGGCCTCTCAGGTTGGCGCAGTTCCATTATTCCATTTATCATCTTTTTTCGCTCGCCGTGCACTCTATCATTTTTTCTGGCTTGCATGTCAGGACTTCTTTTCCTTTACCACGGCAGCCAGGATGACCAAAGCCAAACCAAGGACCGGCTCCAGGCGAAGTGGCTGATGCGCCGAGCTTCAAGCGTTTCGCGATGTAGTTCTGCCCGTGTCCCAGCCTTCTCCGCGGCAAAGGTGAAAAGTTCTAGCTTCGAAACCTGCTTGCACAACATTCCTGCTGTTGCCTTGGATGGGCTGATGACCAGTAGTAGCACCTGTTGGAGAATTGCGACCTGGAAAACTTGTTGGCGTGCCGACTGCTAGCGCTGGGACTGCCAAGTTCAGCATTGATGTGTGCCACACTGCTCCGTGCCGTGAGGGAACCAGGCTCAGCTTAGGACTCCAGGCGGGGCCCGTTCACGGGCAAAGCTGCCGCAATATGGCCTTCGTGAAGGTCTTGAAGAATGCCGCCTACTTCAAGAGGTTTCAAGTTGCCAAGCGACGCCGTAGACAGGGCAAGACAGACTACCATGCTCGTCGCAAAATGGTTCGCCAGGACAAGAACAAATTCAACAACCGAAAGTACCGGCTCGTGGTCCGCTTCACCAACAAGCGCTGCATTTGCCAATGCGTTTACGCCACACTTCGAGGGGATGTGGTCGTCGCTGCTGCCGCATCAAACGAGCTTCTCCACTTCGGCATCGTGGCAGGGCACAAGAACTACGCTGCAGCCTACGCAACAGGGCTGTTGTTGGCCCGCCGGGTGTTGAAGAAGTTTGGCTTGGACGAGAAATTCAAGGGCAAAGAGGAACTGGATGGTGAGGACTACCATATTGAGGACGAGGACAACGAGCAGCGGCCCTTCAAATGCATCCTTGATGTCGGCATTCGTCGCACTTGCGTGGGACACCGCATGTGGGGAGCTCTCAAGGGCGCCGTGGACGGTGGCCTGCATATTCCTCACAGCACGAAGAACTTCCCTGGCTTCAAAGCAGCAGATGAGAAAGGCGGAGAATCTGAGTACGATGCAGAAGCCCACAAGGAGAAGATCTTTGGAAACCATGCTCCGGTCTTAGGGAAAGCTTTTCCTTCAAGAACAGACTTGCGTTGTATTGGTTCAGGTGAAAGAGTACATGGAGATGCTCCAGGAGGAAGATCCAACAAAGTATGAGGCACACTTCGCCAAGTACATCGAGGCGGGCATAGATGCCGAGAAGATGGAGGACCCGCCTATTGATTGGTCATTCTCACGGCCAGCGCCACAACAAAGTTTTGGATTGACTATCCATCTGACCATTGTATTTGCATACTTGCATGTTGCGCAGGAGATGTACACGGAGGCTCACGACAAGATCCGTGAGGATCCAGATGGTGAGAAGGCAGACAAGAAGGACCAACAAATCAGCAGTGTGCCGCTGATGCTGACTTTGTTATGTCTGTCCTTGGAGACGTGGAGCATTCATGTTCGCCCAGGACATCACGTACGAGAAAGACGGTGATACCATGAAGGTTGCGTCAGTGTTCTGCATACTTTCTGCATTTGTACACCTGCTGAGGCGTCGGACGGCACTGAGCACACCCGCTTCCATAAGATCACTCTGGAACAGCGTCGCGAGAAGGTTGCTGCCAAGATTGCAGCCGCGCAGGTGGGCAGAGTCATAGGCAACACAAATCCACCATATCGGGCACGACATGCAATGTCAGGCAAAGATGATGGAGGATTGAGTGGCTGATGAGCGGTTGCCACCAGGAGTCCAATGCAGACGTCGAGCAAGATGAAGCTGTCCATGCGTGTTACATACTCGGCAGGCACTTCTAGCTGAGGCATGCAAGGAGTCCGACACTTTGCTGGAGCTTTGGGGCTCGAAGCCAGGCCGTAAGTGCCCCAATGAGTACTGACATTTAGTCAGCTGCAACTTCCTAGAGAACAAAGAGCATAATTTTTCAACCACGTCAAAGCAGCAGCAAGCAGTGCAACAACAATATGACATGTCATGAGCAGTTTGAAGGTCTACCAAGCATAACGTCTGGGCTCGCGGCAATGGCCAGCAGCGCATGAAACGCGGGACGCCGCAGGTTGGCAAAGGCCAGAACCCTGCAGAACCTCAGAATTTGTTTGAGATGTGTGTCCGCTTGGCAGGGCCTCTTAACCAAGTCCTTCATGACCCGTCAGTGTGACCAAAATGGCTCCAAGGCCAGTGCATTCGTCATGATGTGCTCTGTCTTTGCTCCACCTGCAGGACGAGGCGGAGGCGGATGATGGAGAGCAAAAGTGATCGCCAAAGTTTTTTCAGTGTAGTGACAGTGTAGTGTTCGCAAGAAATTGTTGCCAAGGTGGAAGGTTGGTGACCGCGTCTATGCTCTTTGGGCAGGCAACAGCTGCTACTATGAGCGGAGCTCAGCAATGCATTGTGCTCGTTTCACATGAGGTCATTCACACGTGGTCGCGCTAGCAGCACCTCTCTTCGGATCCAACATGTGTTGTCTTTGCCTGAGGTGTCCACCATAGCAGAGGCTGCGTGATGGTGATTTCTTCAGCTCTGAGTGTGGTGTATCAGACAATGGAGCCTGCCACAACAGAGGGGGTTGAGTCACTTTCTGCTCGAGCCTACCTTGGTAGACATTCTGCAGGTGCGTGAAACAGACCGGAAAGTGGTTGTCACGTGGGACGATGCTGGTGTCTCAAAAGAATGGCGGTATGCCTGATTGAAGCCTAGTTTTCATCAAACATGCTCATGGGCACTGGCACAACATGGTGGCATGGGTGTGTGGGCTTCTGGCCAGAAGAGGAGGACCCGCAAATAGGCATGCAGGAAGAGAGGAGGAAACAAGGAACTCACGTAGCCATTTTGGCTCAAGTCGGAAAGACATGTCGTATGTGATCAGAGAGTCCCAGAGAGATGTTTGGCCAGACGGCTTGGCAAAGCTGGAGGAAGCCGAAGCCCTCTTCAAGTTCGAAGCGCTCTGCCCTCAAGGCTGAAGCAGCAAGCTTCTTCCAGGAGTTCAGCCGAGACGTGCGGCAACTGCCTCAAGGGGGCTCTGAAGACCTTACTTTGGAGAAGGCTAATGAGGCTGTTTTGACCGTCAAGAAGCGGTTTTGGGCCCTGAAGAAGGGTCTCTGGGGGCAGCTTGGATGGAACGAGGTTTACCAAGAATGCTGCAAGATCGATCAACACGGGAAATTTGGCAGGGATCTGATGAGAAAGGCATTCGCTCTTGTCGTCGGTTCCAAGTTTACTGTTGAGGCCATAGACCGTTTGGTCTGCATTGCGATCCCGGACGAGGCGGGCACAGCCTTCGATCTGGCACAAGAATGGAAAGCAGCCGAGAAGACTGAGGAGTCCTCGAGGTGGCGGCAAAGCCAAGGTTGGTGGCAAGATGGATCCTGGAGTCAAGAGGGCAAGACTGGAGCAACTGGAGTGACTGGGGTGAGTGGGATGCATCTTACTCGCCAAGCATCAATAGGTGGTGCGGCCAGGCCGTAGAGGCCGAAGAACACGTCCAGCCACTTGTAGACGTCCAGCCACTTGTAGACGAGGCTGCAGACATGGAGGAAATCCGCAAGGCCGTGCAAGAACAAAGAAGTCAGCAACAGCAGGCACGGCTGAAGAGACATATTGAAGCCGTGGAGGATGCCACGTCCAAGGTCAGACTTGTGAAGTCTAAGTGGAAAGACAGGCACGATCAAGAGGACATGACTGCATCGAGCCTCCAGTCTCAGCTGAGCCAGAGGTGCAGCCAGAAACAAGAGCTTGAGGCGACAAGCGCCCGCTTGTCACAGGAGATGGTAGAGCCCACTTGCATTGGTTGCCTCTCGGCTCCTGCGAACCAGATTTTCTTACCTTGTGGACATATCCATTTCTGCTTGACATGTGCCATCCGGCACGTGCAAAATCCGGATGCGATGTGTCCGACCTGCCGCTGTCCCAAAATTTTCAGGCGAACAGCAAGGCCTGCCGCCATAGTTACCCCCGATGCTCTGCACAGCCAGCGTAGCACAATCCAATAGGATGCACAAATGAGCCGGCTGTTGGGTTCCTTATTTCACATCTAAGCTGTTCCGTGTTTATGGGGTCCTGTGAGCTGTGTAGATGGAGGCTCGGATGGTGAAGCAATCTCGGGGGGAGAAACAAGGTCCCATGGCCCGTGACGGGAAAGGAGACCACGTGCCACCGGCCTGCTCCAATGCTCATCGATCCAAGGAACGCGCAACGAATGTAGAAATGGAGCGCCCATTCAGTTGAGTCCTTCCAACAACCTGCCCTTCCAACGTGCCTGAATTTGCGCTGCTTCCTCGGTCTCTCCAGCCCAAGTGGGATTTCGAGTTGCATGAAATTCCTGATGTGCATCTCATCGATGATCCAGCTCTTTCTGGCACTGGCTGAGGCTGACACCTCGCATCGCACGGTTAGCTTTGACCAGGCGCAACATGTCAATGTGCTGTGCTGCAATCAAACCGTCCTTACTCACACATGGTCACGGATGATGGGCAGTTGTAACCAGGGATAAGAGTGGGACCACAACTGAAGCGGGCTTTGCTTCGCTCGTGTGTGCACCTGCATTTGCTCGAGGTAGCTTTCCGCTAAACCTGCATCAGGTCATGCGCCCTTCAGACGAAACCACCGCCTGGAGCAAAGCAAGGAAGCCAGCATGTTGCTTCAAGTCGATCCTGCGATACCTGTGCTCGCACCGTCTTGCGCAGCAATCTCCCAATCTATTTTGAAGGATTGAACGACGGGCCACAGTCCGTCAAACAAAGCAAAAGGGGCGGTGCCTTTTCACCAATGAGGCGGCCAAATTGTACTGCACGCTGTGCTGAAGGGTGACCGTGCTCAATGGGCCAAGTGGTTTGCCTGATACTAACACCAAGCCCACTTCACCTTCTGTGTCGGATTTCTTACCGAGTACAATAAAGGACTGAGTTCTGACCTGTAGACTGCAGACCTTCTGAGGGTAGTGTTCGACATTCTTGCCTTTGGTTATTTGAAGCATGAACCGCTTGCTTGCACGGCGCTGCCCCGACTCGTCTGTGTCTGGAGGGGGCTGAAGCACCGCTACCTATGACCTTCCGATGACTGCCTGACTGCCACACCACTGCCACACCACCGCCACACCACCGCCACAACACCGCCACACCACCGTCACAACACCGCCACAGCACCGCCACAACACCGCCACAACACCGCCTCACCGCCACCGCACCACCCCGCCTCACCTCGACCCTCGACCGCGCTGCCAGCGCCACAGCGCCACAGCACCACAGCGCCACAGCGTCACAGCGCCACAGCGCCACAGCGCCACAGCGCCACAGCCACCCGCCACCACGGGTGTTTAAGCTTACTACAAGCTTGACCGCATTTTTTGCCCTCCATGTTGAGCTGAATCATGCGGTTGCCTTGACTTGCATTGTTTTGGGAGGCCTGTGAGCCAGGCCAAGTGGTCTTTGTGGAGAAGCCGCTTCTTGTCGCTTTGCCAGGCCAGACTTGCACAGGAAAGCTGTGCACCGGTGATGTGACTGACCTGCCAGCTGTGGCGCCCAAGCTCTGGGAATGTCTGCAGAAGCTGCATGGAGCCTCCGCCTTGGCTGGTGGCATGTGTCGCGCTGTCATGACTGATGTGGCGTGAGCTGCTGTGTTGAAAGGCATGTAATGGCCTTCAAGTTCGATGGAAGTCTGTGGATCGATCAAGTCTCTTTAAGAATGAACCGTGTGCAGCACCAGAATACATCGCCTACCGGCCTACCAGTTGACCCGAGATTGGCCCGAACCCAGATGTTGTGGTTAAGAGCAGAACTTGAGGGCCTGACCGCTGACCGGCCTTTTGAGTTAGTCCACGCGATGAACATGGTTTTGAGAACTGCCAGCCGGCCGATACAAAGCCAAAGCTGTGGACTCTGAGATTGTAGTTGGGAGAACCCGAACAATCTCTTGCGCAGATCATGCTGGAACATGCAAACGGCTTGCCCGCTGTTACGCGCCCGGCGGCGATGCGTCCCTGCGGCCAGCGGCCACAACTAGGGTCCAGGTAGTCTACAGGGTTATCAGAGTTTAGGGTTTTTGGGGTTTAGATTTTTCAGGGTTTAGGTTTTTCAGGGTATAGGTTTGTTTGTAAGGGTTAACGGCCTCTAGGGTTCAGGATTCAGGGTTTTAGCATCTAAATTTGCGGCTGGTTCTAGGGTTTAGGGTTGTTAGGATGAGGGTTCGTAGCATTTTTGTTTTTCGGGTGTAATGCTCTCAGGGTTTTGGTTTTGGGCTCTTGCGGATTGAAGGTTTGTAAGGTTTAGGGACATTAGGGTCAGGGGTTTGAGGGTTTGGGGTGCGTGGGGGTTTTAGGACCTGGGGTTTCGGCGTTAATTATTTTTCTGTGTGTTTAGGGTTTTTAGTGCTTATTGGGGTTTAGGGTTTCACGTGGTTAAGGTTTTTAGGATTTATGGTGTATAGTTTTTAAGGCTTTTTCAGGGTTCAGGGTGTTGAGGGTTCCTACTCGTAGGATTTTTGGGGTTGGGGGTTCCGGAGCTTGCGGCCTGCGGCCCAGCGGCCTCGCTTCGAGGACGCGCGGTACTTTCCCGTCCACTTGACGCCCACGAACTTGCCATAGCTGCCGCTGAGAAGTTTAGTGGGAAAGTGCACTCTGTCGTGCGCTTCCCGTAGCGTCAGAGCGAATCAATCGGAAAGGCAGATGGTTATTTGAATTATTCGCTTTGCCGGCAAAGTAGCAACCTGAGTGGATTGTAAGTGCCCAGGTTCAGCCGTTAAACCTTGGAACGATTACGTTCCATTTTGCTGCGCTCGTCTCGGTGCTTACCCTTGTCCTGAGCTTAGAATTGGCTTTTGACCGCTGCGTACTGCAAGTACCCTGAGAAGTGATGACCAGGATGCCACTGACATTGGCATCATTCGCGACAAGTACGTTCCCGACCCTGATGAGGCGGGCCGCGCAGCTCATTTTGACATGTGCGCTTTAGGCACGGAGGCCAACATGAAAGCTTTCAGCTACATTACGTTTTTCGGAAATGAGCAGGGCAGAGTGGCGTCAAGAGTGCAGTCCAAATGCCAGCGCAATTCCTCGTAGGAGCCCAACGAGGATGTGACTCGAATCCTGAAAGCGCTTCAGGCTGAAGACACTTTGTGAAACAGCCAGTGATGTTTCGAAGTTCTCCGTGGCAGGAAGCTCCGCACGAACTAGCGTGGCTCCGCCATGTTGCTGTTGCTGACACACTTGTTCGCGGCTGCACAAATTGGTTGGTTAGGAGTGACAAGATGTCCAAGCTGGACGGAAAAAGCTTCCAGAGGCTTGTGTCGGCTTGGCGTGTCGGCCTCTGCCTTTGTGATGCTGGAGTAGATCATTGGTACTGCGAAGCGTCGCATCACATCCGAGGCTCATGCCCCTTGAAAGTTTGCGCAGGCTACGTTGAACTCCCAGCAGTTGCAAATCCAAGGTTACAATTCCTTTGGGCATCACAAGGAGGCACGTGCATGCAAAACTCTCCGTTTTGTAGAAGGGATTGCTGAGGGTAGTAGGCTCTTGCTTGGTGGAATCATGGCCTTGTTCAAGTTCAGGTTTTGACAAAGATGATCTTCAATTGAAAGAGCAGCAAGTTGCGTTCCGGAAGGATGGCCTGGTACTTTACAACCGAATATCAATGTGTGGCAAACTTAGCAAGGACTCCACGTGCTTTGCACAGCCTTGCCGAGCGGGCAGTCCTTCACAGTTGCTCATGCCGCCGGCAGCGGTCTGCCTGAAGCAGTTGAAAGGTGCTCACTCATGTGATCCAACATGCTGTCCTTTCCTGAGTTGGGGTTGACATGACTTGACAAGTAAAGAGCTTTCGAAAACAAACACATGCTTGGAAACCAGGCTGGTCCTACGGAGACGAAGATGCTTTCGTCCTCCGCAGCCGGTGGGGTGAATAAGTCTGTTCGTGCTTGTAGCATGCCCAAGCAGTCAAGATTCGTTGATTCATGTTGAGCCTGCTTTCGCAGAATGGCTCTGGACAAGGGCGATGAGCTGACAATCTCCTACCTACAGGACGCAGATCTTCGTGCACTGCATCTTTTGTTCACTTTTGCTAGCAAGGATGAGGACCTCTTAAAGAGCACGGCCGTTCGACAGCAGAAGCTTCAAAACTGGTTGGTTGCTGAGACTTCGAGTCATCTGAGCTTGTGCAGCCTTCATGTTCAGCCCCTCAGGAAGTTTACCTGCATGTGCAACAACCTTAGCTGTGACTTGTGTTTGGTCTTTGCACAAGCTGCATGCTCTGAAGGCCCCCGGTGCTCGCTGAAAGTTGATGTGGCGCTGACTCGCTTACAACCTCCTGTCGAACTCGGAAATGACCGCCTGCATTACGCCTGCTTGACAGTTTGGACGCGGCATACGTTGTCAGCGGTGCAGAGTTGGGATTTTGTATCCCCAGGCCGGCGCGGCCTTGAGATTTGTAGGAATGATTCCGTTGGTCATCGCGCCTGGTGGCGTGGGCCGGCCTGGCCACACCCTCCCTAAATCATTATCCAAAACCCTGATGATGAACGAGGTCTGGAGAGGCATCAAGCAACCTTCTGGCTACTTTAGATGATGTTTTAGGTGCTTTCAAGGTCGCTTTTGTTCATAATTAACACTAAATGGGGTCCCAATTTAGCTGTCGATGCTCGCCTACGGGACGGGGTTGTCGGCGCAGGCTGACGTAGGGCCATGGGCTGACCGTGTTTTTGCCCGCATGTACTTCTTCTTGAATTCAAAAGCAACATCTTGACTCATGCGATAGGTCAAAGTGGTGCACAATGGTAGCATAATAGGAGCCCCCTAAATGCTAGAAATGCAGACAGCAGACGTGAACAAAACATGCAAATTGCACGATTTACAGGGTTTGGATTGGGTAATTATGAATGCACGCAAAGTGTTCGCATGCTTGTCATCCAGTACAGGTGCTACCAGTGCTGGTAGTTACAGCTACGAAGACTGCCACAGCACGTATTTTGAGATTTATGGCGCATTTTGAGGCCATCAGCAGCCTCCAACAAGAAGCCAACATCATGAGCATCATGGGGCTTGTCTGAGCCCAATCATGCTGATGATGCTGGCCGAAACAACTATTCACTCTAAACCATCTGTAGGGGGAGAAGCCTCAAAAATGCGTCCAAACTGGGATGGTTTTTAGGTTTGCAAGGCCTTGTTCTCTCTAGATTAACTGAAAATGACCCAACGTGGGGTCACAATTGTGCTTATGATGCTCCTGTACGGGGCACGCGCGCGCGTCCCATACACATTTTGCCGTAATTAGGAGGAAAGTTAGGCGAGTCAGGAACCATCAGGAACCGCAGGTGCGAGTCAGGAACCCGCGTCACGGGAACCCCGAGGGGCGAGTAGGAAACCCGCGAGTTGCGAGTCAGTAACGTGCGAGGGGCGAGTCGGGAACCCGTGAGGGGCGGGAACCAGCCGCGGGGGTGGCGGTCGCGTTGGAAGCGTTGCTCGTGTTGATTGTGCTGGTCGGCTCGGTTCCGATGGGCTGATCGGCTGATTGGCTGATTGACCGGCTGAGCGGCTGTTCGGCTGATCAGCTGATCGGCTGATTGGCTGGCCGGCTGATAGCTTGATCTGCTGTGTGGGTCTTGCCCCGAAAGTGTTGGCCGTGTCGGTCGTGTTGGTCATGTTGGTCGTGTCGGTCGTGTCGGTCCTGTCGGTCCTGTTGGTCGTGTTGGTCGTGTCGGTGGTGTGCGTCGTCGTGGTCGTGTTGGTCATGTCGTGTCGGTCGCGTCGGTGGTGTTGGTCGTGTCGGTCGTGTTGGCCGTGTTGGTCGTGTCGGTCGTGTTGGTCACATGGGTCGTGTCAGTCGCGTCGGTCTTGTGGGTCGTGCTGGTCGTTTCGGTCGTGTCGGTCCTGTCGGTCCTGTCGGTTGTGTTGGTCGTGTCGGTCGTGTCGGTCGTCTGGGTCATCGTGGTCATGTTGGTCGCTTCAGTCGGGTCGGTCGTGTGGGTCGCGTCGGTCCTGTTGGTCGTGTTGTGTTGGTCGTGTCAGCGTGTCGGTCGTGGCGGTCGTGTCGGTCGTGCAGGTAGTTCGTGTGGGCCGTCTTGGTCGTGTCGGTCGTGTGGGCCATTTTGGTCGTGTCGGTCGTGTTGGTCATGTCGGTCGTCTTGGTCGTCTTGGTTGGGTCGGTCTTTTTGGCTTGGTCTGGTTTTGTTGGTCCGGTCGTCTTGGTCTGGTCGTGTTGGTCCTGTTCGTCTGTAGTACGGGAGCTGGAGTTCCTGACTCGTCGCCTTCACAGGTCCCTGCCTCGCCCCTTGTGGGTTCCCGACTCGATCGACGCGAGTTCCTGACTCGCGCCTTCGGGTTCCCGACACAGGGTTCCCGACTCGCCCCTCACCTGATTGGGACCAAGAGGTTTCGGCAATCCAAGAAGAGCCATCACGGCTTCGAACATGGTTCTTTGCGCAGGCTGACCAGTCTTCGACCCGCATGTACTTGTTTCGATTAAGAAGCAGTAGTTTAACGTATTCACTAGGTTCAAGTGGTGCAAAATCGTAGCATATGAGCCACAAGAGTGTTGCAAAAGCCTTTCTCATACTTGTCATGCCCTGCAGGTGCTAGCAACCCTGAGTTCACAAGCTTAAATGCCGCCCACAGCGCATATTTTGAGCGTTTTGGTGGGGTTTGTGGGGGCCCAGCAGTTCCCAAGACGCCAGCATCATGGCCCGTCTGGGCCCTGCTTATGAGCATCCAACACCCCTCCAAACCCTAGTTATGTTGAGGCGTCCCACAGTGAGAAACGAAGGCCCAATTGCCAGTGCATGAAGCAGGTTGGTTGGAAGGGGTCTCATGCAGGTATATACAAACATGTACATGTACTCTCAGCCATTGTGGCTGAAATGATTGACCATTATGGTTTCTTTCCCGCCCATGCCCTACCCTGGATGAGGTTTCTGACAGGGAGAGCGGGCTACCATTTACAAATTCAGGCTGGTCAGGTCCGATAGGGTCGACTGAGCCTTCCTTGTAAAAGGGCCGTCTCTGTACTTGAAGCCAAAGTATTCCAGGCCCTTTCACCTGAGAGCAGCGGGCATCGGAATGAAAAGAGGATGGTCCGAGTGGAGCACGAGCCTTCTCACTCCAGTGCATCTTGTATTGGCTTGTATATGTGTTGATGAGGCTGGCTCGAAAAATTTACCCCAAACCCTCCGCAGCATGCTTTGAAGCCTGAAAATCGCGTTCAAAAACGCCTCGAGTTTTGACTTTCAAATCCCGTTTTTTGACAGGAGTCTGCGGTACCGGCGTCACCCCGTATAAAGCTAGGCGCGCATCTGCGCTGGACCATGACGGCCAGGCCGGATTTTGGACCTAGCGCCAGGGGCCGGCCCTGCCGCAGTCGTAGCCAACAGCAAGACACAGCAACGGCAAGAGTAACAGGCGCAGCAACTAGCAACAGCAACAGGTGCAGTAGCTTACAGGACAAGAAGTACATCATAGTAGAAGCGGGAATGCTCGCAATAGTGGTGGTGAATGACAGCAGTATAGTAATGCCCGGACAGGTGAAACGGCCCCCCGGTAACTGTGATGATGCTGAGAATGCCACGTCAATAGCATCATCGGGGGGCCTATTCTCCATTTGTTGGCCCTCCTGTGCCCCTTGGCTTGTCCGTGCAGGCCCTTTGACTAAGATTTGGGCTTACATGTTATTTGGGTCTGGGGAACCCCCAAAAATCCTTCCGTGTGTTGGGGGAAGCTTACGAAGGATGGGTGTAGTTGAAATTACCTTCGGGTTGGCAAATCGCACCCCAATTTTGCTGATGATGCTCGCCTACTACGGGGCGCACGTGCCTCGTATGCACAATTGGGCGTCCATTTCGCTACTCAAGTGATGTTTTGGTCACCCGCGCCTATTGTTGGGCTGTTCCAGCCGCAGAAAACACCATCAAAATACGGCTTTCCAAGTGACTCTTACTCCGCAAAGGCTCCATCAACAACCCGCGTGCAGGTATGAAATGCCCTCAGAACAATCTTGTAAACTTCATGAAGCCGGCACCCGCGCTAGACCTGAAAACCGCACGCAAATCCCATTAAACCAGCATAAAGCCCGCGAACACCTGCATGGAACAATCATAAATCCTGCAATCCATCATGGCACTTATCAACAGTTTTTAAACATATTTCCATTGGAAAACCTCGTGCGCCCATCATAGAACTCGTGAAGACTCATGATAGCCTCCGTGGTTCCAGCATCCAGCCCTCATGGAAGGCAGCCAAGAAGCCTGGAAAAGGAGAAGCAATGATGCTGATGATGCTGGCCAAGGGCACCAGCATTACTGGTCATTAGGGGTCTGCTTTTCCATTTTTGGCCTTTCTTACAACCAATGACCCCTCATGGAGTCTAGATTGTTCTCAGGCCTACCCCAAGAGGGCCTTGGGGCTAGTTTTCAAAATGGTGCGTGCTCATTTTTGGGATTTTGTGAATGAATGTCAGAGTGGCTTTGGACTGGGGTCTGGGAGGGCCTTTGGAGAAATGGAGGTCCGATGTGCTGGGCAGGGGGGGGTCGGCGGTGGCGTCACCCTCTGTAGAGCTAAAGCCGAGCAGCAGGGGCCGGCCCTGCCGCGATTGTAGTTCAACAGCAGGAGACAGCAATAATGAGAGTAACAGGCGCAGCAGTTAATAAGGCAACAGGCACAGTAACTAGCAGGACAAGAACTACATCATCGTAGAAGCACAGCATAGTAGCAGTAGGAATGGTCGGAATCATCGTGGTGAATGAAGTGAATGACACCAGTAGAGTACGGCCTGGGAAAACCCAAACGGACCTCCGGCAATGCTGATGATGCTGCATCATGAACACTATTGGGGGCCTTTTCTCCATTTGTTGACCCTCCTGTGCCCCAAGGCCTGTCTTTCACTCTCCTTGGCCCAGGCCCCTTGGGCAGGCCTTGAGGCTAGACTCCGTGCTCATGAATTTTTTTTTTGTGGGCGTGTGGGGGAGCCACAAATTTTCAAAAATCCGTCCGTGTGCTGGGTAAGCCTTTAGAAAGCACGGGTGTAATTGAAACTGCTCTTGGGGTGGCAAAACGCACCCCACTTGCATCATCTGCACAAATGGGGGTCCATTTCGCTCCTCAAGTGATCTTTTGGTCACTTGTACCTATTGTTGCGCTGTTGCAGCCGCTGAAAACGCCATCAGTCGGCAAAAGCTGCTTTTCAAGTGACCCTCACCCCGCAAAGTCATTGGCATCACCGTAAAAACAAGCTTGCATGCAGGTATAGCCCACAAAACACTTTCGTAATGTTCATGAAGCTGGCATGTGCAAGACCTGAAAACCCTCATGCGAATCCCATAAAACCAGCATAAAACAATCACAAAACCCGCAGCAAACCTGCATAGAAGCCTGGAAAAGGAGAAGCGGGCCTGATGCAGTCTAAATTTGTCTCGGCCCTACCCCAAGAGGGGCTTGGGGCTAGTTTTCAAAACAGTCCGTGCTCATGATGCTCATTTTGGGGCTTCTTGCAAAATCCCCAAAACCCTCAAACATCCATCCGTGCCGTTGGGATAGCGCATGTAAATTTCAAAGTGGTGTTGGAGCGGGGTCCGGTTGGGAACCCCGGGAGAAACGGAGGTCCGATGACGCACGGACCGGGGGGTCCCCCTGTAGAGCTAAAACTCGGGCAACGTTCTCAGGTTTTAGCCGCAGGCCGAGGCGCTGGCTTTGCCATGGAGCGAACGCATCTGCCGCTGATCCTTCATCATTGGACCTCCGTTTCTCCAAGGGGTCCCCCCGACGTCCCCAGATCCTAAAAATCCTTCAGACATCGTACATGGCTTCAGGGAAGCTTATTTCTAAGCAGCGCAGGTACGTTTGAAACTGTTTTCAGGGTGGCAAAAAATTGGCATCCAATTGTGCTATTTCGCTACTCGACTGCACTTCTTGTCAGTCGTTGAGCTGTTCAAAGAAGCCCCTTGCCCCTCAAAACCACCCTCCAAGTGGTAAAAAAACACCACAAATTCATCACCACTGCCATCAAAAAGCCCGTATGCAGCTGTGAGAAACCCCAAGCCATCTTGGAATCATCATCAAATTGTCACATGCCAGACCTGAAACCATCACCCAGACCCCATAGAGCCCGCATAACAACGGCATACCACCTGGTAAAACCATCACAAAACCAGGAACCCATCAACACACCTTTGAACAGTCTCTCTCGTATGCTACCATAGACAAAGCCACCGGCATAAAACTTGCAAAGAAGCCTGATAGCCTCCGTGAGGCCAGCATCCAACCTTCAACTCCACAATGCCTGGCCGAGCATGCGCAAGCAGCCTAGAAGCCTGGAGAAGGAGAAACGCACCCCCAATGATGCTGATGATGCTGGCCCCATTACTAGCATCATTGGTTCCCCTGTGCCCGATAGCCTATGGGCTAACGGCTAATTTTCACAAAATTCCGTGCTCACAATGCGTTTTGTGTGAGTGTCGTGCTCTAAACAGCCGCCTGAATCTTCTGGGGGCCCTTCTGATGGTCTGGAAGTTGGCTTAGCTGTCTGCTTTGCATGTACCAGGAAAACGCAGCCTGTGTACAACCCTCTCCGCGTTTCTTCTGTCACCATCCAACATGCCCTGAAAAAGGTCAGGGGACAACATGATGAAAGCCAGAGAGCCACAGGGTAAACGAGAGGGATGTGTGGGATTCAAATGCAGATGTCGCAGTGCAAAGGACCCTGTGGGCACCTGCACCGCCTTAGTGAATTCCAGCACCTAAAGCTTGGAATACCTCAAAGGGTTTGTAATCTGCTCTGCTCCAGGCATCCAACACCAGCTTCGAACTCTGCAGGGTCTGCGGCAGCAGCCCCCCATTAGAGGTCCTGATCCAGATACTTTGTTCTGACAGCCATGAAGCGCACGGGACAGGACATTGCAATGCTCCTCCACATGGAGGAGGAGTGTTGTTCTCAGGGATTCTGAGGTGCTTTCCATTCTGGTCGAGTTTGATGGCAAAGGTATGTCCAGAGAGTGGACAGCTTGGACAAGAAGGACTTGGAAGATGTCCAGCAAGTGTACCAGGTCGTCGGAACAGGCATAGGCCCACCTGGCGTGTGCTGGAGCCAGGCGGCCTTGGACATTTTTGAGAACCACTGGATTCTGTACGCCTGGAACCTGATATGTCAGGATCTTGCCAGATTTTGATGGATTCAACTTTGGGCTTCAGGTGATGGACACAATCCTGTGGGAGGGACACCGCCAGAAGAATGTGATGGATGCGATGGAGCATCAGCTTGTTGCTCAGCCTCTGCACCTGCATGAGGAGCCGAGATGCGACAGTCATCAAACTCTGCATGATGACAGGAGACGCCGAATCGATTTTCACCAGCATTACTATTTCAGGCCACAGAACAGACAGTTGGCGCCAAGTGGTCAGACTTGCTCACAGCAGCCTCAGGCCAACATTCATCTTGGCATGGTGCCATGAGGTGCCACATTCAAGGCCTGTCCGGCTTGTAACCCTGCAGACTCAACGTTGGCAGGAACTGGGTGATTGCATGATGGCGCAATTCCCGACGAGAAAGTGGCACATCGTGCAGGAGAGGTAGTTTGGACGGTGCTAATCTCTGCGCTGTGGACTGCTTGGGCAAGTTGCAGAAGTGAGCACGTGGATGCTCTCGCACTCGGGTCAGGGGATTGCATGGAGGATGGTTGGCGGTTACGTTCTGTCAATTGTGTACGTCAACAGAGTGTATGGGATGTTCGGGATGCGTGGCCTCATCGTCGCCGCTTTGTAATGTAGATGGCTTTCGGACTCCCGTAGTATGTGTGCAAAGAGTCCAGAATGTGCCTGAATCAGCTTGATGGAGCAAGGCTTCTCTACATAATCAGTTGGTTGAGAACTGCTGAGCGGTCCTCATTGTTGGCAAAGGTCTTCTTTTTCCGCTTGTTTTCGCTTGACCTAGTAGATGCCTAGGTGCGCGAAGCAATCTGGCCCGATGAAGTATAGAAAATCACAGAATCCAAGTCTTAATGTTGCATATGCTAAAGTTCATGCCGGCATCATGCGGTCAACAGCTTCGGAATTTCGTTGCAATGGCTGATGGTTGTCCGCTCTTGGTATCAGCCCCCAAAGCATCCTTGAGCCGTGTGTCAGAGCCGTGTCTACGCCAGCCGCTTGCATGCATGGAATCTCTCGACTTGACTGCTATTCCTTGCAGGAGTTCCAGCGTGCCTACCAGATGCTTGCAGTCCTGCTCTGCGCTGAGCGGTTGAGCGGTGTCAGGCATTCAGGCACTAGGCACTCGAGGCTGCGTCCTACAACTTTTGCCCTGTGCTTGGGGCCGAGGTGTGGGTCCACGCACCAGTACACTGCAAGTCCATACAACAAGCTCTGGCAGGTGCACGGCATCAGAAGTAGCGTGAAAGGAAGTCCAGTTGCACAAACAATGACAGGTTTCCAATGGAAACTCCACCCCAGCAACGAACAATGGCACTGCAGCTGGAAACCTGGATGTCTGGCCGGATAACAGATGATGTTGGCGAGTGATTTTTGTGAACTGTGGGTCATTCGTGCGGAAACTGCTACATTTGAGTCCCAGGATTCTGCAGCTCCTGAGGCCGGAAAACAAGTCTGCGACCCAGCAAAGATTGCAACTTGCGCTTCTGCAGCTGTGATGAAGCTGTCCGTATGCCCAACTAAGGCTTCGTGATTGCTGAAAGATGGGCCTTTTGGTATTGTGCCGCCCAGGGTCGTGCATAAGGTTGGATACCAGGCTGTTCGCACAATTGCTTTCTATAAGGCTGAAACGGGGTCCCCCATAAAGTAACCAGTCCGGAAAGCAAGGTCTTTTATTTACGAGCGTAAATTTTTGCAGGGTTCCTTTCTTATGAGCAGCTGCATCTATTTATGTACGCGGGCGAACACCAGCGCGCTGCTCCCAACATTCTTGCAACCGGCCCTCCTTCGGGAGTTAGATAGGACCCGCAGATTGAACGAGACAGGTCATGGTCGCGTTGTGAACTATTCTCACATGCATATCCGAAGAAGACGACTGAGATCACCAGGGTTTGCCTAACTGGCTCAACATGAGCTCCGATATCACCATATAAAATTAAGCAGACAAATCGCAGGCCCATGCATCCGAAATATGGGGTGCCTTGAAGCCTTTGCTCGTTTGTTGACTTGTACGGACGCGGTGGTGGTTCTACCAGCAGTAGGAGGAGCAAAAGAAGAAGTAGGAGGATTACAGTAATAGGATTCGTGTGGGTCAGCATGCGCCTTGCATTAGCACTGACCTCGCTGAGGCCCCTGTCAGTTTGAGAACGATATGCTTTCACTATCAAGCTCGAGGTAGAGAGAGTCAATTGCCTCATGCTGGCAAGAAAATAAAGGGGAAGAGGGGGGATGCCTTTGTGGTTGGACCCAGGAAAGAACGGATGCTCGTGGCTGGATGCTTGGAGCGGCGCCCCAGGGAAGAAAACGGGGTGAGAACAGATACTGCACCTGCCTTCTTTTTTAAACGCCTCTTTCTAATAAGACTCTGCTTTCTCTCAGAAGCCCGACTTCCGGACCGGCTCTAGCCCCTGTCCTCTCGCATCTCCCAGTGAAGAGCATCCCTATCTTGAGATTGTTCGGGCACTTGCCATGTATGTCTGCTGGCAGGTCGGGTTCTTTCTGGAAACTGTGAATCCTATGTTCTGAACGCAGATCCCCAAAGAAGAACTATAGCTACATGAACGCCCTGAACAGACCTACAAGGTTTGTGAATCGGCTCTGCAAATTCCTGCAATATCCTCACAATTCGCAGTAGCCAGATGTCCCCGTGACGCGTCTTTCAGATGGTGTGTGTGTGTGTGTAGAATTCCATATTCTAGTATGGATTACCGATCTTCTGCTGTGCAATCCTAGCGTTTCGCAAGATTCCATTCCTAGATTCTATTGCTTTCTATTATTGACGGTTTCTTTTTCATACCGTGCCTCCTGCAGAGTTTGTTGTCAACCCTTCTATCGTTAATTTGAATCTGCACGTAAAATCAAGGTGCCCTGAGGCTTTAACCGACTGCCACAATTTGGCGCCGCACAGGGCTAGGCTACAATCGCAAGCTTGGACATGCCATGTCAGGTCCTAGACGCGGCGTGGAGCTAAGCCAACAAGCGCGGGTCAGAAAACGCCTCATAAGGCTTGAGTCTGTGAGACTTTTTGTTGAACGAATGCCGTCTGCTCCGTACGATGCTGGCGTGGCCCTATTCAAGACAGTTGAAACCGCAAAGCACTAATTAGGTTCATTAGATTCTCTAGACCTCTTTATGACATTACAGAGAAGAGAAGCGCGGTCAGATGATTCCATGCATTCTTGCGGAGCTTGCCTGGTTGGACAGCACGCCTCGAAGAGAAAACTACCTGGCATTGCCACCCCCGTTCAAGAGAACACTTGCTCACTGGCAGTCACTGGCAGTTGCCACGCGCCCGCTGGGAATGATGAGGCTTCCAATCTTGACAACGTCAAGAAGCACCTAGCCCGTTCGGGTGTCATGGCGCCAAGGGCCTCTCCGCGCACGGCTGTTTTTGCGTTAGGAAAGCACATTTGCATAGAATTGTGAGAGCGGCAAACGGCCAAAGGGATATCTGCATGTTGGGTCAAAGGATATGAGTTTATGGTTAGAACCTGCAAGTTCAATCTCCGGCTTTCTCACGGACGACGATTTCAACGCTGAGGTGTTGGAGAGCAGAAGCAAAAGAGTGGACCTCGTTGACTTTGCAAGTTGCCGTTCCCCCCCCCACAATCCTGACATCATACTTGGTTTCATGCTTGTCGCAGATACCTACTGAGGGCTCAAATATTCATGCTGTTGAGTGCACGCATGAACCAGACATACCATGGATACACAAGTGCGTTTGAGAAGCATTTTTGACTAGCATGTGCTAATAATTTCGGTATATTGGAAATCCTTTGCTTTGTCAGCCGGCGCTGCGCATGTTTGCCTCTAAGCCGTGGCCGATACCTCGCGTGGAAGTCGTGCCGGCCGGTGTTCACTGGCACTTGCGCAACTTGCTCAGATGACCGAGCTGCGGCCGTCTACCGGAACCTCTAGAACCAGTGAAGCCAGCCGTTTTGGCCCTATCCATCGTGCGAGCATTTTGCATGATTTTGCTTTCTCACTTTTTCCTTGTCAGGACGGAGTGGCCAGAGCGTTGGGAGCCGACAGAGTTGGCAGCTCATTAACACGCAGGACATTAAACGGTGGGCCAAGCACAATAAAATCTAACGAAGCTGTCTACACGACCTCGTAAACCATGAATGCACGTGCAAGCCCTTGGCGTCCTTCGAAAGCTTTGCTCAGGTCGTAGGAGTGCCGCAGTGAGCGTGCACTCTAGCGCATCGAACGCAGCTCTGCCGCAGCAAATGAGATTATGGTGCAGTCATAAAGCAACTACCAGAGTCAATGCAGGGGTAATCTAATCCATGGATTTGTGCAGCTTCTTGCGGACAAAGCGATCATGGCTGTGCCAGGTTGACGTGATGAGAGTTCCCCCGAGGGAACGACCCATTCGAGAACAGAGCTCAGACACTGGCACGGGCATAGGCTTGAGTGATGCAGTCACGCCAAGGATGAAGGCTTCCTCCCCAAGGCCATAACCCGAGGCAGCCTTAACAAAGAAACTGATTTCCTGTGCCTGGAGGCTGGTGCCTTCACAGTCACTGGCCTACCTGGCTACACAGGATACGTGCCTGCTCCTGAGAGATGCGCGAGATCAGATTGAGACCACGTTTGTGCTGTCGAGGCCTGGAAAAGTGGCTGAGAATGTGCACGGCCTGACATTTCAGAATGCCAATGAGCGTGCAGCAGCTGAGGCTCCGAACAGATCTGAACTTCCGTGTTCCTGCTTAAGCAGAACTCTCATGGCAGATTTGCGCAGTCGCGTATGATGCCTAGGGAAGTATGCTCCGCACCACTGGGAGATTGCCAATGCCGTATGCTGGACGGACCTACGACGGCAGGCTTGCTCAGTTGTTGCAGAGCTGCCTGCCAGCTACCCGCAGTGATCCGTACAGCATTTCTACGCTGTATCGTTGTGAAGAAAGGTCCTGCTCCTGGTGCTGAGGCCTACAGTAACTAGTTTCTATCATGTACGGACGCATACCGCATCCACAGTCCTGCAGGTGGTGCTTTGTGAGCGCAAGTGCCAGCCAGGTTCCAGGGTACACTGGCTTTATCCCGGGCCGCTACGCAGACAACGTCATGGGAACGACGTTCGCCAAGGGCGTTGGAGCCTTATTCTCTAAAAAGTCTGCTGGCTTGCAGGCACAATCTGGCGGCATGGAAGCTGAGGCTGAACTGTCATTCATTATCAAGAATCAGCAAATGGCCGAACGCCTTCATCGCGTGCAATGCTACCGCCATGTCCTCACAGTCTCAGCTACATGTGGAGATGAAGAGATGCTGGCTCATCACTGTCTGCGTCTGCAGGTCAGGGAGAGAGACCTGTCAGCCGGCCAGCTTGAAAGACCTCCCGACATGTGAAGCTCACTGAGGATCTCAATTGATTTTGCCTACTTGTAGCCTGTGATGTCAGGCCAAAGCTGCATGCCAAGCTCGAGGCTCCTCCAAATGAAGACGGAGTAGAAGATCTGAAATGCCATGCCGAAGAACCCGGCGATTTTCGGGGTGTGGCACCGTGTTTCACTTTGATCGCGTTTCACCCATCCTTCTTCGGGCTACTCGAGCAGCCTGCGAAAACGTAGTTTAACTAGGCTCTAGGAGGGCTGCGTTTGCATGAACGATTTTTTGTATTGAGAGGTTTCTTAGGGGTGGTGGAATTTTTTCCGTTTCGTTTTGTATCATTTTCTTCATTGTCGTTTGTTTTGCTGGGGCATGCTGGGGCAGAGAGCGAAGCGAGAACAGCGAGGGCTGCGGGCAAGCAAGTAAGCAAGCAAACAGGGCAATCAAGCAAGGAAACACGTCAGCCACAAGCAGGCAAGCAAGCAACATTTCATTGTCACTAATTTTCATACGATTTTCATCATTCGCATGACCTTTCATGATTTTCACATGACATCAAATGTCATCGAGTTTTCGAGATATGTTCATCAGGCTACTTCATATTTCATTATGTTTCATCCCATTCATCATTTTCATTGCTTTCATTTTCATAATTTCCAGAGTTTCTTATCATTTCATCATGCTTCATATTTTTGAAATGTTAGTGTTTCTTATCTTTTACTTTCATCTTTCAAATTTCATCAGATTCAATCCGTTTTTTTAGTCTCGTGTCTTCATAAATCATCATGTTGCAGGGTGTTTCATCATATTTCATTGTTTCTCGACAGCTTCTCATCATGTTTCATCATCTTCCTCAGCTTTCATCATGTTTCACTCACTTTCTCCACATGTTGTCATTTCAACATATTTCATCCTTTCATGATGTTCAACGATTTTGATTGCTTTGCAGCATGTTCACAATTTCCTGTGTTTTCAGCCTTTGCTAAGATTGTTTCATCAATCTTCATCATGTTTCGCTATGTTTCCTCAACTGCCTTCTTTCCTGTACCAGATTTCGTCAAGATAATCTTTGATTGTTTTTCAATTTTCGTCATTCCCACCAGTTTCCACTGATTTCCGAAGTTGCAAGAGCACGACGCAGAGGTCTCGACGTGTTCTTTGTTTTGTTCTCGTTCTGCTTTGTATTGCTTCTTACCATTGCCAGACAAAAAAACGTCGGAAGAAAGCATGTGTTCTTATTTTCGTCCAGGTTTTCATGATTAAAAGGGGGGGCTGCGCCCAACTGCCTTTTTTGATAAACACACCTGTGCACAACCATCCCTCACCATCTTTATCGGTTTTTCGCCATGCACTTGCCAACGTTTCTCAACACTTTCTGTGAAATTACATAATTTCTCATGGGGTTTCATCACTTGTCAACATGTGCGTCATTTTTCATCAGTTATTGTCGTGAGTTTTGACGTTCTTCTTCATGCGTGTCATGTGCCGTGAACTGTCGCATTCTCAGCATGTTTCCATCACACTTCCGCATCTTTCATCGTCTTCTCATATATCATGTTTCATTATGTTTCAGAATGGCTCATAATTGTTCAACATCATTTTCGTCATTTTACATCTGAAGTTCACAACTTTCCAACAGTTTTCAACAGTTGCTTTTTTCGTTGTGCTTCATTACTTCGCGGATCTGCGTAATTTTTCATGATTTTGATTGGTTTTCATCAGTATTCAGCATTTCCACGATTTTCATCAGTTTTGGTCATCTTCATTGTCTTGAGCAAAATCCGTGACCATCTTTATCAACTTTACATTTGTGGCGCTAATTTTCATCGGTTTTCATGACTTCTTCCATCATTTTCATTATGATCTTCATCATCCATGTAAGTTTGTATGACTTTCAAAGATGTTTCATGACTGTTTTCATTACGTGTTTAATCGTTTGCATCATTTTTCAAGGAGTTTGCGCAATTTTCCATAATTTGCGTCATTTGCTTCTGCTAGTTTTCATCATGCTTCACCATTTTCACAATGTGCATGGTGTTTTCAAATTTTGTTGTGTTCTTTCATAACTTTCCATCATGTTTCACGATTTTTCATCAGCTTGCAGTATTGTCAATCACTGTTCATCCGGTTTATCATTTTCATGGTTTCTCATCATATTCATCATGTTTCGTCCTTATTCAGCAATTTCATCAGTTCTCCATGTATTCAACACCGATGAACAAGAACAGTTGAATCCAACGAGAATCTGGTTAAAATCAATGAAAGCAAATTAAAAACAAGTCGTCAAATCTAGTCACAATCAAATAGCATCTAATCAAAGTCAAAGGGAGATCTTTTTGATATGGTTAAGATTCAAGTGAAACCAATTGAAACTCAATTTAAATCAGTTGAAGCTATTTGAATTTCGAATGAAAAACCATTCAAATCTAATTCAACTCTATTCAAAATCAGCTGCAATCCGACTAGAGCCAATTGAAACCAACTTAAGATGAATTTGAAAATGTAACTGAAATCAATGCATCGAATTGGAGTCAATTTGGAACCTCATTAGCATCAGTGATAATTTAATTCAAGCCGATTGACATCCCGTCAAAACCAATCTAAAACGCAGTTAAATTCAAGTGAAATCTAATGAAATCTATCTAAAACCAACCAAAAATCACTTGCGATCTTGGTTAAAAAGCAATTGCAATCCGAATAGAATCAAATGGAAATCTACTCAAAATACTTTAAAACCTCACTACAACCAGTTCAAATCCAGTCAATATCGGTTGACGACCTAATCAAAACCAATTCGAAATCTAATCCAAATCATTTTCACATCCAATTAAAGCAAGTTTAAATCTAATTGGAATCAAATTAAAATCGAAGTTGATGGATGCCATCCTGGTAACAATGGAGAAATGTGTTGTGAATCCGGACGCTCAAAAAATATGCTCAAGTGAATCCAAGCCTCTGCTGGACCCTGCACAAAGATTGACGTCTCGTATGTTTGCGTATAACGCCGAGTAAGGGGTTTGAATTTAGCTGGGTTTCTGAGTTTACGTTTTGGGTTTTGAATATACAAATGAGGGCTCTGTTGCTTGTGCTCTGAATTTTCCTTTAGTGTTTCTGACATCCCATTGGACATTTAGGCGGCTTAACGAATCTGGTAATATTCCATCCAAACAAATGCTTAAAGCGAACCCAGGCCTCTTTTGGACTACCCCCACAAAACTTGACGGTTCGTATGTTTTCGTATAATCCCGTGTAAGCGCTTTCTATGGGGTCTTATGATTTCCCGGCTTCGGATTCTCTAATATCTGGCCTTTCAGGTAAAGGCTGTGGTGCTAGAGCTCTGGAATTTAAATCGCCTGAGGCTCAAGACCTGTTAGTTCTAAGAGTATCCTGGTTCAAGAGAAGAAGTAGTCTCAGAGAGGACCTGCAAGCTGTTTCCGTTGTGTTTCTCTTAGCTAAATCAAACCTAAGTTAGGTAACATATATATATATATATATTTTAAACTTTTCCGATTTTGAAGACTTTGCGCCCCCCCACAAATTTAGATATTCCTGACCCCTCAAACAATACCAGATCTTGAGTCTTGGGTCAGTCCCCCACCCAGTAATGGGTACCGCGCGGGACCATTGTAGGTATATTAAGGCCTTATTACCTCCATGAAGTAGCTATTGCTATAGGGAGGATTGACCTAAACCAGCTGTTGAATAGCTTGCCCGAGAATTGTCAAACCGAGTCCCTCATGCAAAGGGTGTCCAACATTATTGGTGCGTGCACCCATGGCCATGGGCTGGGATTTGTTTGGGTAGACTATGAGGAAGCCTCTTGCACTGACAGTTGCAGGTGTCGGCATCATCTAGCTACAAATTTGCAAGAAGCGCTGAACCGCACGTCTTCATGCTATGCTTTACCGCAGCCAGAACCACTCCGTGACCAATGCAACAGCCAGGGTGCAGCCACTGAAGTGGCAAGCAAAGCAGCAGCTTTTACAACATGTTCGGTTCGAGGAACAGATTGACAAGCAAGTTAGTGATGAAGTGGCGGCTTGAGCAGCTGTTTGTCCTGCATGGAGGCTAGGCAGTCATGAGACGAAAACCTGATTTTTTTGGAGTTCCATGGCTGCTCCTTGAGCTGTTGCTCGTTTGCACCTGTTCTGTTCTAGCTAGCTCAGCGGCATGCGCAGCAAGACTGATCCAAGGTCTGCTGTGGTGGTCACACTCCACGGAATTGCTGCTGTATGCACTGAGTTTGTCTTCCAGACGGAAGGCCGGTGGTCTTGTGTCTTCGACGGTCAGAAGCTGCCTCACTGACTTCGTGCTGAGGCTTTGTCTTCGGACTCTTCTACACCTTTGCCCAATGACCCTTGAATCGAACGTCCAGCGTCGCTGCAGAGCGGCAGGATGGTTCCCATCACAGACCTAGGTTTTACCTTCATGGTGCTAGCGCTGGTGCAGTCGATGGTCAGAGGCATGCAAGCCAGTCATGACATCGCGGAGTGGTTATGGCATGTTGCGGCACCTTTTGCCTAGGACTCCCGGGGCTGAGCTTCTCAGCCATCCGTGGATCTGCTGTTGCAGGGTACGCCGTCCCAGTTGCAGATAGGATCCCAGGGCAGTTGCAGAAGAGCGCCAAAACACAAATTTGAAACCGTTGCAGAGGCTATCCATGACCGTCCAGGCCTAAGCGATCCTCAGAATCTGCAAGTCCAAGACCTCTTTCTGTGCGCCCTGAAACTCTTTAGATTTTGCATAGGAGTAGCTTGTCATATAGGATTCCGAGCAGCTGTAGAGCCATTGTGGGTGTGGCAATGGACGAAAAAGGCCCTAGGCCACACAGGTGGAGTTCTCGGGGAAATCTGCCAAGGGCTTTAGGAGGACAGACTCTATCTTGGGAAAAGGCGGTCCTCAGCCGGGCCTGTGCCCATCTTGTCCATCTTGCATTGCATCTTGTCGCCTCTTGCCGCATGAGCCTGTGAAGTTTTGCAAAAGCTCGTCAGGTTTCCCATGGCTGTGGAATTTTGTCATATGTGTACGTCAACTACACAACGGCCATGGTCTTCAAGAGTGCCAAAGTTCCAAGCGTCTTCTGCTGACATCGTAGACACTGCAGACATGGTGGTACTTGCTGTCATGTGTGCTCCCCATGTGTGCAGACGGCATATAAGGGCATGTTGTAGATTGTGGATGAGGTCTTGATCGGGGCCAGATTGGTCAACAAAACGGCAACGACAGCTCGTGAGCTCCTGTGGGCCTTTTGCATGATGAGGCCAAGCTTAATCCGTACGTGATTCCATTGCGTCGCATGCAGAAAAGGGAAGGAGTTAGAAACTGCCTCCTGGTCAGTGTTGGCTCAGGATTGGCTTGCTCCTCTTCGCATCCGGAGATGTACGTGAATCAGCTCGCTTCACACCGCTTGGGCTGCTTGCAGACAAGCAAGCAAGATGCACATTTCAACAAGCAGGTATGCAGATGAAAGAGGAGACAGGGAGTTTAAGCTCGGCATTAGTGATGAGAGTCAGGTCCTAATTTGCGTTGAGTGAGCAGCAAACGGAGTTGCATGCATGACACATTCGAATTCACAACTTGGCAAGTCGCGCAAAGTTCATGCAGATGTCAGGCTTCTGCTCATTGCAGTCAACCTGGTGGGCAGCACGTTGACGGCCAACCTGCAACAAGTTGTCTTACAACCTCAGAACTTACAAGCTTCTTCAGCATGTGCCGCATGGCCAAAGTTAGAACGAAAGGTCCACCGCGTACAATGCCCTCTAATGGCAGTGTTTACTCAGGCATTATTGCAGACTAAGGCACCTTGCGTACATGGTGTCATGCTGGTGCAATATGCCACTCTACTGTATTTAGATCTCGACTCAGCCTCGGATTCGCCGTCTCGCCACTCTTTCGGGTTTGGCCGAGGCTGTAGCTGCCGGCGTGCTTCTTGTGCACACCCTCATCACTGGAGAGCCTTCGTGGCATTATGGTCCAGATACCTGTTGTGTTACCTGCAGACCGCGGAAAATTTGACATGCAGCTACGGAAGCAGCTTATTGGTATCTGCATGGGCTGCGTGGTGCTACTTGTATCTACTCTGGCAAACATATTGTCAAGCAGTCCATGCGATTTATGGTCCAATTCGCATCCCCCCAGCAAACTTTCCTGCAACCGAAGGTGACTATGCTAGTTGAATTCCGATAGCACATGTGTGTACGTTGTAACATGGAGCAAATGGGCGCTGCCCGCAGCCGCCTATTTGCTCAAAACCGCCTTTTGTGCTGCGGCGACATTTCTCCTGGCGGCCCCAATCGGGGCGTCGCCTCCTTTTTCATTGGGATGCCGAGCCTGTCTGGAGAGCCACCGGCGAGATGCGCTGAGCTGTGGCCCGTTGCCCCTTCTGCGGCCCCTGAACTCCCTCGAGGCGGAGCAGGACGTGCAGGCCATTACTGGCGGCACCACATCTCCACCACCGACGGCACCTGACGGCGCCCGGACCGATTTCATCCATAATAGTAGAAATGTCGCGTGGCCGCGCGCTTCCGCTGCCCGTGGCCTGCGTCCCGCGTCCCGCGAGCCGCGGCCTACGAATAATGTGTTTAGGATTACAGGGCGCCCAGACCCCGAGGTTTTCGCAATTTCCAGAATTCCAGGGTTTAGTTTTTTTTGGTCTAGGGCTTTTAGAGTTTAGGGTGTTTATAGGGTTTCAGGGATTAGGTTTTTTTAAGGTTTGGGTTGTTATAGGGTGATAGGGGTTTAGGGGGTTTAGGGTTTTGGAGTGAAGGGTTTTTCGGGTTTATGGTGTTTCGGGCTTTTAGGCTTTATTCTTTGGGGGCTAGGGGTGTTTAGGGTGTTTGGGCTTTAGGGTTTAGGGCTTTTAGGGTTCCAGGTTGTTTTGGGTATTTAGCTAGGTTTTCAGGCTTTTTAGGGTCTAGGGTGCTTAGGGGCTTTAGGCAGTCAGGTTTTGAGGTTTTTTAAGGTATTTATAGGCTTTGGTGGTTTCAGTGTTAGGGTGTTTAGGGCTTTTGAGGTTTAATGTTTTTAGGGTTTAGGGTGTTACAAGTTATAAGGGTTTATAGGGTTTAGGGGTTTTGGGGTTTCAGGGTGAGGGTTTTTTGGGGTCTAGGGCGTCTAGGGTTTTTAGGGCTTACAGTTTTTAGGGTCAGAGGTGTTTAAGTTTTTTGTGGTCACATCCCCCATACGCGTATTTTTCCGGAAATAGGCCCAGACCTACTTCTCAGACCACCCCCTCCTTCCCCCCATTTAAAGAGGGGGAATCTGCGGGGCTCTAGTTATTTGATGTGCTGTCGCCCGCCAAACCTTTTGGACGCACCCTAAATCGTTCAAATATCGCGCTCTCGTTCGGAGCATCCTCAAAAAATCGTCGTTCTATGACGTACTTCTATCTAAATAATAGGTCGCTATCTTTTTAAAGTAGTCTTGCTAGAGGTGTCTGTCACAGAACTGGTCGCGCCCCAAATTTCGCGCTCCCGTGCGGGACATGCTCAAGTATTCCAGACTTTGCTTACTCAAAAATCGCGCTCCCGCTCGAGACAGTCGCGTCTTTTTGCTTTTTTCATCTTGATATCTTTAAAACGTCGCGCTCCCGTGCGGAGCATCCTCGAAATTCCATCGAATTATCTTGATCAATTTCTCTCAAAATGACGCTCCCGTGCGGAGCATGCGGAAAAAATTGATCATTTCTGAACGATGATATCGACGAAGGCTATACTGCAGCTATACTGAATGAGTACCGGTGTACTTCGCTCGAGGTCTTGTTCGTTCAAAACCTCGGTCTTGAGCGGAGTGCCCCAGTAGCCAGTCAGTATAGCATTCATCGACTTCGTCGTTCAAAAATAGATCGATTAAGTTGATGGAAGCTATACTGGTTTACTACTGGGGTATTCCGACCCCGGTCGTCTTCTTCGTTCAACATTGCGGTCTTGAAGGGAAGCCGTTGTGCATCTCGGAGCTAATTTGTGGTCATTACCGGACCCTCCTCATCTCGCCTGAGGACTTTGGGGATAGCATGCTCACAGGCAACAATATGGAGGCCTCACCGCTACAATGCAACAGCCAGCTGACTGACATGATCAAAGAAAACTGCTACGTCTTGGTGTGTGGCAGGTGTAACTGAACGCACTGAGGAGCTTTGCTACTTTCACGCAGCTCCATGGATTGTGGCTCTCCATTGCATGCAAATTGTAGTGTACAATCAGCAGGGAGGATGATTGTGGCTTCCATTCATCAGCAGACTGTACAGTTGTGCAGACAAGTTGTGCACTTGAAGCACTCTGGTATGGGTCTGAGTCTCGGCTCCCCATACCTCGTTCTTTTGTCACCTGTGATTGCGGTTCCCGCTCACATGTGTTGGGGCACGCCGCCACACAGCGGCCGCTATGCGTAGCGTGACGCAAGCTCACAAGCAGATCACTGGATAGCTGTGGCTCAAAGGAAAGGAAGGGTCTTGAAGGGAGCGCCCCGGTAGTCAGCCAGTATAGCTTTAGTACTGCCTTCGTCGATTTCGTCGTTGAGAATCGCGCTCCCGTGCGGAGCATCCTTAAAATTTTGGAAAAAATCGCTTTCCCGTGCTGAGCATCTTGAAATTTTCAAAAAAAATTGCGCTATCGTGCGGAGCATTCTGAAAATTCTGAATCAAAACACGATCCCGTGCGGAGCCCTCTGAAAATTCTGAAAAGTATGGCGCTCCTGTGCGGAGCATCCTCAAAATTTCATCGTTTTTTTGTTCAAATTCCCCTTCCCCGGCAGAGCGTCCTGATTTTTTGATGAAAATTGCGCTCTCGTGCTGAGCATCCTCGAAATTTCAAATTTCAATGATTTTTCATCCAAAAGTGCGCTCCTGTGCGGAGCGTCCTGAAAATTTTGAATGAAATCGCGCTCCCGTCCGGAGCATCTTGGAAATTCGGTTGTTTTTTCATTACTTATGAATGTATAAATATACATTCGTACATACATACATACATACATACATACATACATATACATACTCAAAACAAGCGCTGTCGGGCCTCCTGCGGGGTCCCTCATACATCTCTACTGGGAGGCAAACACCCCAAAATCCTGCAACTGTGGCCGTCAATGGACCAAATCTGGTGTGATCTGCGTGGCTGCTGTTATCGAACCGCCGGCTTATCCTAGTATGGAGACAGACAAGAGGCGGTTCGATCCCCCCAAGGCATGTTGGAACTCTTCAACTCGGGCCCCTGCAGGGGTGGCATCTTACAACCCCTTATCCTGGGGGGGGAAGGGCCGGCAACTCGGCCCCCTGCAAGGGCCGGCATCTTAAAGAGCATGGAGGCCAGCCCGGAGTGGACAACTCCATAGGTTGTACAAACCTGAGGGGCGTGGAAAGGGATAAAATTCCCAGTAGGTTTAGCTGACTACCTAAAAGGTTGTTTCACCCCAACGCCTACGGCAGCGTTTCGTGCGCTCGAGAAGAAAGAGTCTAGCCGTGAAAGCGGAAAATTTCAAGGGGAAGGGGCAAACAGTCTAACCGTGAAAGCGGACACTTTGAAGGGTAAGGGGCAAACAAGTTTGAATGCTAAGGGGCAAAAAGTTTAATCGTCAAAGCGGAGAATTGGAAGGGTAAGGGGCAAACAGTCTAATTGTAAAAACGGAGAATCTGAAGGGCAAGGGGCAAACGGTCTAAGCGTGAAAGCGGGAGAATTTTGAAGAGCAAGAGGGAAAGAGTCTAACCGTGAAAGCGGAGAATTTTGAAGAGCAAGAGGGAAAGAGTCTAATCATGAGAGCGGGATAATTTGAGGGGCAAGGGGCAAACAGTCTAACAGAGAAAGCGGGCAATTTGAAGGGTAAGGGACAAACAGTCTAAGCGTGAAAGCGGAGAATTTTGAAAAGCAAGAGGGAAAGAGTCTGGGTAAGGGGCAAACAGTCTAACCGTGAAAGCGGATAATTTGCAGGGTAAGGGGCACACAGTCTAACCGTAAAACGGAGAGGGGTGTCCCCCCTTGATTTTCTCAGAGAATCAAGTCCCCAAATCTCAAATCGCATGGGGTGTCCCCCTAAGAATTTTCAGGGAATCACATCCCCAAATCTCAAATTCCAAGGAGTGCAGGATTTTTTCGAGAATCATCGTCCCAAATCTCAAGTCGCAAGGGGTGCCCCCCATAAGCCATAAGACTTTTCCAGAGAATCAAGTCCCCAAATCTCAAATCGCAAGGGGTGTCCCCTAACATTCGTCAGGGAATCAGATCCCCAAATCTCAAATGACAAGGGGTGTCCCTGAGATGTTTCAGACAATCAAATCTCCAAATCTCAAATGGCAGCGGGTGTCCCCCCGTGATTTTTTCGGGAATCATCTCCCAAAATCTCAAATGGCAAGGGGTGTCCCTAAGACTTTTCAGAGAATCAAGTCCCCAAATCTCAAATCGCAAGCAGCGTCCCCCTAAGATTCTTCAGAGAATCATCCCCCAAATCTCAAGTCGCAAGCAGCGTCGCCCTAAGAATTTTGAGGGAGAATCAGATGCCCAAATCTCAATCGCAAGCAGTGTCCCCCTAAGATTTTTTCAGAGAAACACTTCCCCAAATCTCCAATCGCAAGCAGTGTCCCCCTAAGATATTTCAGAGAATCAAATGCCCGAATCTCAAATCGCAAGCAGTGTCCCCCTAAGATTCTTCAGAGAATCATCTCCCCAAATCTGAAATCGCAAGCAGCGTCGCCCTAAGAATTTTCAGAGAATCAGATCTCCAAATCTCAAATCGCAAGCAGTGTCCCCGCAAGATTCTTCAGAGAATCAAGTCCCCAAATCTCAAATCGCAAGCAGTGTCCCCCTAAGATTCTTCAGGGAATCATCTCCCCAAATCTCAAATCGCAACCAGAAAATCCAGTCCCCAAATCTCAAATCTTAAGCATTGCCCCCCTTAAGTTTTTCAGAGAATCATTTTCCCAAATCTCAGATAACAATGGGTGTGCCCCCAAGAGGTTTCAGAGAATCATCTCCCTAAATCTCAAATCGCAAGGGGTGTCGCCTAAGATTTTTTCGGGAATCATCTCCCCAAGTCTCAAATCGCAAGCAGTGTCCCCCTAAGATTGTCCAGACAATCAAAGTCCCCAAATCTCAAATGGCAAGGGGTGTCCCCCGAGATTTTTCAGTGACTCATCTTCCTAGTTATCATCTCGTGTTCTTGTTCTTTATTTCGGCGGGCGACGGCATCCTAATATTATCTCCTATAGATTCAGGTTGAATTACACATGTGGGGTTATCCTGTCCATTAATTTGTATTTATAGTAGTGGAAGGACTTCAAGCGATAATGCGTGATGGGTCAATCTGCATATAGATCGATAGACATGACAATGATCATATCAGTGAACTACTTTATATTGGCGACTTTGAAAGCAATTTTGATGGGAATTGTAGTGCTCCACTATTAGCAGGACCCTATCTTCTCTTATATACCTTTATTCAGATATTCGAGAGAGAGAGGATTCGGAAGGACGGGATGATGAAGGGGAAGAAGATGACGGTTCTCGGATGATGGGATGGTGGTGATAATATGGGGATGGATGGATGGATGGATGTCCAGGATTTTCGAAAGGTCAGGAGTGGTCAGAGTTCCAAGTATATGG